AGTAACAAGAAGCTAGTAGTAACAAGTGCCACGCTAGTAGTAACAAGTGCCTTACTAGTAGTAACAAGAAGCTAGTCATTCTATCGACGTGCGTCTGCACCGAGCGGATGCGACGGTGCCTGTCGTGTGGATCTGCGACCATTTGGAGGCCTTTCCGCGCGGAAAGCGGCCATCGCGCGGCCCAAACGGTCTCTCTGAGGCCGTGCTTTCACACCGGGGCTGGGGATGTGAAGTGCTGTCCTAAAAAGACCAGCCCATCTGCCTGAAAGCCTCCCAGCTTCCTCTGAAGAGAGCTGTGTCCCAGATTTCTTCAATCAATCTGTGGTTGTTCTATTGCAAAAAGGTTGACCCCTGAAAATGAACAGATTCCTCTATAAGGGGTGTAAACTTGCCATGGACACCGGTGAAGGAGCTGCCAGGACAGCCATATCAAGGCCTCATTATTTGAAGGGCTCAAAGCATTTGGAGCTTCATCATGTTTCACACAAATACAAATACAAGACGCTGTTTGAAAGCTCACCCCTGTGTTGTTGTCTTTTTTTTCCGTAGGTGCATGAGCTACTCAACTGGTGAACACACCCCCCCATGGATCACTGCAGAAATGGAAAAGTATCTCGACGGTTGGCGGACTGGATTCATATGGATTCTGGACCGTCCAAGATCCAATCCGGCACCCGAAAGCCTGGGATCGAATCATCAAGTCCAGCTCAGGAGTCCTTCAAGTCCAGCTCTCGCCAAAACCCAGATGATTGTAAAAGCTCCCTGCTTTGCACTTGCCAGAGAGGTGGAATTCTTGATCCAAACTCAATTCAAAACATGACCAAAACTAAGCCCATGGCCCGGGCCACATGACACCGGGCCATGTGACGGGTCGAATTCCTTTCGACTCATCGTGAGATTGCTCCCCAGTCGTCCCGAAACCCTAATCCAACCAGGACCCAAGCTACGCGCCGCTTGCGCAAGAGCTTCAGATCCGCACCCATGCTTGTGGCGTGAGTTCATGCCGCGGAACGCTGCCCACCTTAAAGCTGAACTTGTAGAAGTCATTCACACGGCTGCTGCCATCATACCTGCCACCAAGCCAGCGATCCGCTGGTTGGAGATGAGCCGTGTGACCAGACAGGCGGCTCCACCAGACGTCTAACAAGCCAGACAGGCTCGCTGCCAGACTGTCAAGTCTTCCAGGTGGGCCAAACAGTATACTCGGAGTAGACCGATTCTTCTGTGGTACCCCGTAGCTGGTACTACCTCCAAAAAACCTCCCCCAAAGACTTATCTGAAGGGAAGGAATCAAGTCGTATCTTTCTTTAAGAGAGAGTGTGGACTTGGGAGTGACTTGGGAGCCCCCGTGGCACCAGGGCGAGTGGACTCTCTTTCCAAAACGAACCGCCAAAAAAGAACCTGCGGCCCGACGCCAAAAAATGCTCCCGTTGCGGGCGCAACCACCCCATGCTCCGCTGGATTCAAGGTGCCTGACTGGGTGCCTGTGCTGAAAGCCTCTTGACCGCACGCACGTCTTCTTTCCGATCCCATAAAGTCCGGGTCCGCGCAGTTGGCGCACCCACCAAAGATGTAAAGGCAATCCCCCACCACGATGCTGGCGTGCAGGGATCGTTGCTTTGGAGGTTGGCCTGCAGGCAAACTGGTCGTCACGGAGTTGGTCAAAAACCACAGATTTGGGATGATCGACATGAATACCTTCCCAAAACAATGGAAGTATTTCAGCTCATTCCGGATGCATCGCTCTCTACGTACATCATAATATATGCACATATATAATATCATGTATATTAGTATGTATTTGATATTATTTGATGTATATATCACTCAATCGCTCCCAAACATCAGAGGACTGGTGAGAGTCTTTTTCCAGACCTTACTCCGTCCTCCGTCCTCCCCACGGATCACTTTCCGAATTGCGGAGGACATGTTTAGATCATCCTCTACCCGCACTTCGGGTGCCCATTCGGGAGACCGGAATGGATCCGAAGACCCAGGGAGCGTGTGGGGTTGTCCATTCACCCCCTGGGTCCGCAGACCCAGGGGGGGACCGGCGGACTTCGGCGAACGGCGAACCGCACAGCGTCACAGCGCTTCGCACTGGGCATCCGGGCAACCGCCAAACGGTTTCACCTGGGACCACTGGTTGATGGCGCTCTTGCATTCGCCCTCATCCACCTCGAACCGCGCCCAACGAGCGAAAGAGGCGCTGCACGAAAACGAAAAGGGCTCGGCGGGTGGCGAGGAGGCGGGTCGCAGGCGTCAAGTTGGTGGGCTGAAGATGGTGATGCCTCGGATTCAGAATCTTAAAAGATCAAGGTGCTCAACTACGAGGAAAAAGGTCCAGGTTGATCTGACCAACGATTTCGATTGAGGCAATTCGGCACATCGAACGCTTTGGATGCGACCACTGAGCAGCTTCCCCGGCTATAAGCTGAGCTTGCTTCGGCACTGCCACGCTCAAAAACAGACACATCGTGCCGGAAAACCTCCCACCGCAGCTTCGCTTCACCAAACCTGAAAGTCCCTCACTCGTCTGAAAGTCCATGTGCCTGTGGGTCTTTCAACCAAAAAGACCTGGTGTTTTTCCTGAACATGAACCGAATAGACGACGTGAGTTAGGGAGGTCATAACCGAATAGACGGGTGTTGAAACCGGGGGACCCCGAGACGCGTTTGGTCTCCGTTTCCGAAAAGAACGGACGGTCCAAACGCGGAGATCGCCTCCATCTCTGCTTCGGCACCTGCGAGCTGCGTCGGCACTGGGATCGCCACGTTTGGAGCTTCGTTTCGAGCGTTTCGAGCCAAGTCCTGGAAGACGGCACGAACGAAAGGGACCACCCCAGGAGGTGCTTCGGAGCGTCCAGTGTCTCACAATGGCGCCTTGGAGGTGATCCGGGGTGCAGTCCTGGTATATAGTTCTTCTTACTGTAAGTAGAACTGTAGAACGAACGATTTGGCCTTGCCACCAAGTGGTCGATGTTCATCCATCCCCCTAGCTGGCGGCGTTTTTGGACCTGCGGACGGCCATCACCAGAGACCCAATGCGAGACCAATCCGACCAATCCGCGACGATAAGATGCCTGGGAGCCGGGGCAGTTTGCTGGGTGTTGCCGTGTTCCCACTTGCTTATGGGCTAGCAGCTAGCTTCCTCTCCAAGTGCTGTTACCACTTTGCTACTGGAATGTAAACGGCTGATTCACATGAGATGTCGGGCTTTTAAACATCTTCAGACACCTTCATCAAGGGGATCAGTGTCTCACCATTCACCCAACTTGGTTGATTCCACATTGCTATACCTACCTCCCCGCTCTCCCAACCGACAGACCGACCTCTTCCGCCCTCGCCCGACCGCCGTTGGGTCGCTCAGGCCCCCGGACGTTCCATGGCCGACCTCGCGCGCCGCTCGAGCGGTCCGAGCTCGAGCCGTTTCGCCACCGAAACCGAAAGCGTCCCCCTAAGGCCCTAAGGCCCGATCGGTCACTTCGTGCCCTGGGCGTCGTTTTGGGGGGGTGACTCGCGAGCGTGAAGATCGGTCGCAGCAGATCGGTCGCGGTTTGGCCAGGAAGGTCACCGTCACGTGTTTTTGTTGGAAGGAGATCGATCCTTGATCGTCTGTCCATGGTTTTTCTACGAAAATGTATGAACATGTCCACACCAGAATTACCCCAGAGGAGGGTCAACAAACATCTTGCTCAAGTGATGCGAGGCCAGCGGAGATTTGGACGTGAGGGTTTTGAAGGTCCACAATCATTGCCTCCAATAGTTATTTGTTTGGATGGCTGGATCCTGTTTGGTAGTGGGAAACTCCTGTGTTTCTTAAGCTGGTCCCATTCGATGTGTCCACGCAAACCAAAAACCCACGAAATCCGGCGGTGGGTGTGTTTCACACACCACTGCGCGGTAGTTTCAACCTCCAAAAACGCGCCTTGCTTTCCGGTGCCAAGGGCCACAAAAACGGGTGCCCTCATTGGCCAAGGGCGCGCCGTGTGACGAACCCTATGAACCAACGGCCCGGTCCGGCGAAAGAACCGAACGCTTCACGGCGAGACCGGTCGACGAGACCGAGCGAGACCGGGCGACGGATCCGGATCCACTCGTGGCGACGAGCTATCAGTCGTGAGGAAGCCCAGTGGCCCAGTGTGGGTGGGAAGCACAGAAGGAACCAGGAGTCACATGGAGGCAAGGGTGGTTTGCCTCGTCCCATCCAGGGGCCGTGGATGTGACAGGAGCACCCCCAGCTCCTGGAATGTATTGTTGAGGTTGGATGAGGGTTTTGGGGGGTTTGGGTTTCTTCCACCCAAACGCCTTCGTTGTCGTCCGATCCCGTTGGTTGTCCGGTCCCGTAACGGTTCGGAATCGGGTTTCGGGGGAAAAGCAGATGTTTTTCCGGCAAAGACTTGTCATAGAAGTGTCTGGAGTTGTATTTGGAGTAGTGTTTGGAGTAGTATTTGGAGTAGTGTTTGGAGTACCAGAAGTGTTTGGAGTAGTATGTTAATTATCTGTCTGTCATCCCTATTTGTTGGTCCTTTTCCTTCTGAATTTTCTGGAGATCCAGTCCTCAAAATTGGAGATCACATGCTCCCTACCAGTTGCGAGGATTCAGTAGTCCCCTTCCCGCTGAAATGGAGGTCTTGAAAAAGTCCTCTTCGGCCTCTGCGTACGACGATGGACATTCATGTCGGAAAACACACGCAGGGTGGTCCAAAGGGAAACTTGTATAATCTTCTGTATGAACGATGGAACTCGGCCCAAGAGCTCAGCCCCAGCTTTCAATTGAAAGAATTGAAATGAGTCAAACATCATGGTTTTGGTTCTGCAGATTTTAAACCACCGCTTCCTTCTAGAGTGAATCTATCTCCAAAGCACTGATGTGGTCACACAAAACTCGTCTTCTTCAGGGCCTCCAAGGGGTCTCCCAAGGTAAAGAGCGTGACTCTGAGTCATGGTCTTAACTTTGGGCCATTAGGTTCAGCAGAAAGAGCCATGCCCTTACCTTTTTCTTGCGAACGGCATTGGTCACCGGCACAAGGCCTTTAAGCCGCGATCACACCCACACACTCCTCAAAACCTTCGGGAGTGGGTGAATGACCCATCAAACAGAAGGGACATCTCCGCTGGATCCGCCAGGATCCGCCGATTCGAAAACCAAAGCGGGAGGCCTCCTGGAATGAATGTTCATTAGAGTGTGAGAGAGTGGGAAAAATCGAAAAGCTAAGAAAACCTACGCCCCAAGAAGAAACCAATCTTTAGAACTGAAGGCCGGCTCCAGAATGGGAAGGTGGCGGTCGTCCTCATCTTCAGAACCGTGCATGGAACGGCGACGGCTTCCCAAAACACCGCATACAAGTATTAAACGTGATTAAGGTCCAATATAGTTTTCTATTACAGTTATTACAGTAGGTTAGCCGACCGAGACAGACTGACCGAAACAAACAGACCAAACAGACAGGCCATCGCTAGTAGGTTGGAGGCCTAGAGAAAAGAAAAGGAATAAAGTTAGACTCTCGCTTTCCAACTCTTAGTGACTATGGAGCCATTCCCCGTCCCCACTGGAGCCATGTCGTGCGACATGCATGGGGTCACATGCCAGGAGCTAGGTCATTTGGGTCCTCCGTGCAGGGTTGGCTTCATGTGGTCCGAATCGCACGCATCAACGCATCATCGCACAGACACGCGGATGTTTGTGTTGGTTGATCCAGCGCTTTTGAAAATATGATGCCAGTGTCTTCACGTCGCAAAACCGTTGTGACACTCAGCAGCGGAGATGTGCTGCCTGGTGCCAGGGCAGAACTGAAAAGAACCATGTAGACTGCTGTAGACTCTTGAATAATAAACCTCCTATGAAAAGGTTGTTCAATCCAAATGGGGTGGGTGAAATATAATCAAGAGTCTACATTACCTGATGTAACGGGGTAACTTCATGTCTTCGAAAGTTCTATACCCCTTTTTAGGGGCTTGTTCAGCTCACATTCCGTTCCTGTCCGAGTCATTTTAGTCCACCTCTGTACAAACCTAGGATGTTCATCTGAATCTGAATTCGCACGACCGCAAGTTACGTCCCAGGAACGCCCAACTCTCCGGTCCCTGACTGCTCCAAGCTGGGTGTCATCCATTCACAAGTCTTACTTTCCAATGCCAAACGAACGGGCCCGAACCAACCCCTGCCATGGAGGGCCCGAGGGCCCAAGGATTCTTATAGGGGAATGCAATAATGCCAATGTCCTAACCCAACAAAGAGAACCAAGAATTTCCTCACCAACCTCAAACTTCCTAACTCCAGCTCCCTTCCCAACTCCCTTGCACTGACCGCCTGGCCCCCCCTCTTCCTCACCTGGTAAGCGTCCTCAATCCTCCGCACCGCCTGCTGCAGCTCCACACGGCCCGGCGCGGCCAGCTTCGCGGCCGCGAAGCGGTGCTGCAGCAGCGCCAGGCCGAAGAGCGCCGAGCGCACCTGACCGACAGTCCGGTGCGGTTGGCGGAGGAGGCGCGGTTGGCGGGTGGAGGAGGCGTGCGATGGTGGGGTGAACCCATTGGGGTGAACGGGACTTCCCGAAGAAGAAGAAGAAGAAGAAGAAGAAGGGAAAAAACAACAAAAGAAGGCCCTATAGCAGAGGCTCAGACTTGGAAGAGGAGAATTTCCATTACAAAGGAGGTGGCCGTTGAGTGTAGATGTTGTTGATAAGCTTTCCATACTAAACTGGATTGATCTTTGTTTCGGCCACCCACGGGGAGCATGATTTACGTGTCCTGCGATCTGAGTCACCAAGCTTGATGGGATGATACTAAATCAATGATTCCCGCTCGCAAAACGTCCATCTGTTTCAAAAAGGGTCACGGTCACAAAAAGGAGGTCACCGGTGGCCACCTTCAGAGTCCGGAAGGCAGCCAACAGCATGGTATGAATTTTGATATCATGCATTGTAAAATAGAGGGGGCATGCCTCTCCACCCGGCCGCCGTCGTGACATACGTGCTTGGCACAGAGAACGGCCGCACGGCCGAATGCTGTGTCTCCGAGCCAACGCGTCGAAGCCAAAAGGAATAGAGATTCCTGTCCCACCATGAATGAACAATAGGCTGTTCTTGAACAACCAGCTGTTGAACACGAAGTGATAGGTTTTACCATGCACCAGGTCAAGCATGTGTTTAATATGGTTTTGGAAGGCTAGGGAATAAAACGAATAACTTAATAAGTCAAACAAACAAAAAACTGCCTGCTTCATGGTCTCCTTCACCAGGTGTGAGTCGCATCCTTGGTCCTCTCAGATTCTGAAAACGTGGTAACGCAAACGGGCGAACCTGGGCGTACCTGGTTGTACTGGTTGTCTGTTGTTCACATAATTTGCTTCACAGGGACTCTGCCATGTATCGAATTCCTTAGACAGACCCATTTTGGTGGGAGCATCTTGCCTCACAGTGGCCTCTTGCCATATGCGGCCCATCCATGCGTCCCATCCGCGTCGGCCGAGGGGGAACACGCCATCCACCGTGCGATCGATGCGGTTTTGGTACACGGACCGACCTTCCATGGAGCTTCGGACCCTCAAAACGACAGCGAGGTGGACAGAGGCACCAAAGGGCCCTTGGTCCACGTCCAATCCTTGCACCAGAAACAGGTGGGTCGTTGATCAACTTCTGGGCCCTTTGGCCGACGGCTGGGCCGGCCGATCCGGGCCGACCGCCGCCCTGTCCAAACAGGTAGAGCTCCGACCGCCATGAGATCCCCCAAAACGCCCGGCTGTTCCCACAGGTGGTGTGGGTCCGTCCGTCTGACGCCACGTGAGACCGGACATCGCTCCTTCGTCTCACGGGTCGACACGGGAACCGTGGGGCGTGGGTGGACCGTTCGTTCGTTTGGATCGGAGACGAGCGCAGACGGTCGCGTCGGTCCTTCACAAAGAGTTTCAGTGCTTCGGTGTCCTGGAGGGTCGAACTCAGTTCCCCCATCAACAGCGTGGCCTGCGAGGTGGTCGCGGACCGCGGCGACCGGGTCTGCGCCGAGGGACGGCAGGCAGGAAGTGGGGAAGCTGGGAAGCGCCTGGATCTCGAGCAAAAAAGGTTTTGGGGGGAGACCTCCATTCAAGGACCTGGGTCCAGCTGTAGCGGAACCACTGGGACTGGGAGAACCTCCACCGCCTCGCGCCAACCACTTCCACCAGTCCACCTCGCGCCACGTGCGTTTCAGTAGGCGATGGCTGCGAGTCATCCGGTGCATACCTAGCACGAGAGAGAGCACCGAAGCACCGTAGAACTCGTCGAGGGCACGAGAGGACGCGCTATCAGTCATGTAGACCCCCAATTCGGATGGTAGAACCATGTAAAACCTCCTCATGCGGGGGGGGTGATGCGCAAGATAAGATCAACAAACCTCACTTACCAATCAGTTATATACCAAGTATCTTAGTTTCCAATGAGATCGGTTGGTAACTAAACCAGTGATTTCTTGGATCCCAGATCCAACCGAGTCGAACACCTGCAAGACCGGACTTGAGGATTTTCTCCGAGCCATTGGAGACCCGGATGATGGTGGCGTTTGACCATTCCCCCCATCCCTCTCAATTCCTGATGATCTGCTTGCCATTGCAGCTGTCTCTCTAGATCTGCATGGTCACAGGACACACCAGTACACCAGGGTGAACTATTATGACATCGAATGTAAAAATGTGTCCACGTGAAGACAATGTTCCATTTTTGCAAACCGGTGGTTAGCTCAAGGAAGATGCCGCCCTGTTCCCTACATTCTACATGCCCACTGCAAACTGGACCAGGCTGCTCTGGGTGTAACTGGCTGCCAAGCTGGTGAAGCTGGCCTCGCAACCCACATAGTGCTGCATCTCCTGATGGGGGCATCGGCGACCAGGCATCATAAGAGTACATCCCCCACATTCCCCCACCACAAAGAGGTGTCTTCTTCCATTCCATTAGAGAAAAGGACCGAATCAGACTTCGGAGACTAGATTGAATTCACGTGAAGCGTGAGACTGATTGAATCTTGAATCTCTGGAAGTGAATAAAACGGGCTACCCAGTTCTTGGCAATCAGCGAGAAGCTTACCATAACTAGTGACTTCCTTCGAAGGTCCTCAAGTGCGGATGACAGAAGATGCCCCCAACCGGTGGACTCGTTGATTACAATGGGTGTTCAGAGTCCCACCTGTCAGAGTCCCACCAGATCATAACTACACACAAACCATCCAAAAGCCACCCACCAGCATCCAGCATCCGAAACCACGCATTCTCTGCACCACTCTCTGCGCCCTTTTTTTGGCCCCCCGCACGCTCGGCGCCTCGATGGAATGCTGGAAGGACTGGACCTCCAACTCCGCCACATCTAGGTACTTCTCCAACTTCTCACGGAGCTTCCACCAGATCCTCAGGTTTCTTTGGGGTCAGACCGGTCGGACGATGGACACCGACTCTTATATGCGGGACCAAAGTCAGAACTTATGGCAGCCATGGCCGTAGCAGTAGCTGATACAAACAGGGTGGTGCCTTCTTTTCCCAGAAACGAAGTATATAAGTCGTAGGCAACAGGCATGGGTTAAGTTGTTTCTTCAATTTTGCCCGAAACGTCTTGATCTGGGTTTGAAGTCTGAATTTTCGCCTACTACTCCGCCCGAAATCGTTGTGTCAGGCATTGTGTCAGGAGTTTGGGCATGTCAAGTTCTTCACGCCAAGGCCTGAACCTGGAAATCACGGCTTCTCTGACCAGCTTCTGTGTGTCACTTGTGTCTGGAAGCGAAGGCCACGGAACCCATCTGCATTGGACCATCCAAACACTCGGAGAGAAGCTCTCGACGCTTCCAGCTCAACAGGAGACTTGATGCATCAGCAGTGTGGTCAGCGAACACTTGGAGTTGCAAAGTCCAAGAAGTTTGGGGACCAATCTTTCGTTGGGGTGCGACAAAGTCTCAATCTCATCTCTTTGGTATTTACCCCTCAAAGACCCCCAACTGCCCAGACTCCTTCAACCCCTATAGCCTCACGGTTCCGTTGTCCCTTCGCCCGCGACTCTTCGCCCGCCGCGGGGGTGAAGTATCAAAAACGGTTATTTATCGCATCAAAAAATATTCAAGGAGATCAATAGAAACTAATTACTTAGTCAAAAGAATAATTCTACCACGAACCCTCTTTGGGCGGGCGGCGCCTCATCCGCGCACACGGATTTGACTCATCTGCGCACACACATTTTGTAAGGGAAGGGCAACATCCTTCTCTAAATTTTACCCCTGCATGGCCCACAAAAGGGTGAGTCAAGTTGAAATGGCAACATCCTTCTCTAAAATTTACCCTCGGGTGGCTCACCAAAGGGTGAGTCAACTTGGAAGGGCAACATCCTTCTCTAAATTTTACCCCTGCATGGCCCACAAAAGGGTGAGTCAAGTTGAAATGGCAACATCCTTCTCTAAATTTTACCCTTGGGTGGCTCACCAAAGGATGAGTCAACTTGGAAGGGCAACATCCTTCTCTAATTTTTACCCCTGCATGGCCCACAAAAGGGTGAGTCAAGTTGGAGTGACCACTTCCTTCTCCAAATTTTACCCTGCCCACAAAAGGGTGAGTCAAGTTGAAATGGCAACATCCTTCTCTAATGTCACAGCGCAAGTACATGCAGCATTTCTGTCACTTTGAAACCTTTTTCAATCCTACAAGTATGGGGCATGTGCGTGATCGGCAACTTTTCCCTTTTGTCTACGTTATCCTAAGCTCCTTCCTCCTGCCTGGCCTCCTGGCTAACAGGCAGTTTCCGCTCAGAGTCGAAGTTCGTGGCAGGAATCTTGTGGCACCGGGGGGGTTTGGGGGGGTGGGCGTAGCGCCTCCCCCCCATGAGCAGACACGGCTAACGCTTTCAGGTATGCATTACATTGGTCTGAACTAACAGGAGTGATTAACATGTTTGATGGTTCTTTTCTTGTCCGCTTCAATAATTTCCCTCTATATCATACATTTTGTCCATGCTTGAATGCGTTATACTAAGTCGTTTCTTCTTGTCTTCTTCATTCCTTGCCTCCTGGCTGCCTGGCTTCTTTTTCTAGAACAGCAGCAGCTTTAATCTTTAAACGTAAAAGGCAAGTTTGCGCTCAAAGTCAATTGTTCTTGCAATACATTCGAAAAGAATGTGCAGGTTTCGTGGCGCGGGAGGGGGGTTGGGGGGGAGGGTGCGGCGCCTCCCCCAATGAGCACACACGGCTAATGCTTTCAGGTATGCACTACATTGGTCGGAACTAACGGGAATGATTAACATGTTCGATGCTTCTGTTCTTTTCTGTTTACAATAGCTTTATTCTTTCGTCTTCCTTTTTGTCAATGCTTTCATGAGTTAAGTTAAGTCGTGTCTTCCTGTCTTCTTTTCTCCTTGCCTCCTGGCTATTTTTCTAGAACAGCAGCAGTGGCTGTAGCAGCAGCTTGCATCTGTAAAAGGCAAGTTTCTCATTAAAGTCACATTGGCCGGCTATCGGGAGTGATTGGATTGGCAAGCTCGCTCGATAATCTCGTGTTTTCTATTTCGCTCCATTCTTTATCTTCCTTTGCGTCATACTAAGTTCTTGTTTCCTGGCTGCCTGGCGTTCTTTTCTAGAACAACAGCAGCTTCAATGTTCAACAGGCAAAGTCCTTTACCTTCTTTGTTGTCCTTTCCTTACTACTCGTACATTATGCTAAGTTGTTTCCTCTTGCTTTCTTCCTTCCTTGCCTTCTGGCTGCCTGGATTTCCTTTTTAGAACAACAGCAGCATTAATGTTCAACTAACAATGAACTCAAATTTCGCGGCAAGAGATTTGCAAAGTACGTGCGGAGTTCCTGGCGCAGGAGGCATGTCTGATGGTTCTTTTCTTCCCTCCCTCCTTGCTTCCTTCTCGACACATCATCGGAAACTACCCACCCCGCAGCACCTCCCTCCCATGAGCACATACGGCTAATGCTTTCAGGTGTGTACTACATTGGTCTCAACTAACGGGAGTTATTGACATTTTTATGATTATTTTGTTGCTTATTGTCGTTGTCTAATTCTATTCTTCATTTTCCTTGTGGTCCTTCCTTTGTTACGTTGTTTTTTTCCGGCCTTCTTCTGTCCGTGCTTCCTTGCCTCCTGGCTGCCTTGCTTCCATCCTGGCTGCCTTCCTCACTTCCTACCTGGATCCCTTCTTTTCTTCCTTCCCTTCCCTTCGACGAGGGGACCAGGGACCAAGGAGACCAGGGGACCAAGGGGACCAGGGGACCAAGGGGACCAGGACGACCATGTGGACCAGACGGGAAAGGAAAAATAGTTTTTATTGATGAATTGATTAATTTGTTTGATTACGTAATTAATTCTTTGTTGATTCAGTAATTAATTTTTTTGATACACATGCCCGCCACGGCACTTATCCAGGCTCGCGAGCGCGAAGTGCTCCTGCGAGCTCAGCAGATGTTGGGACGCCTCCTTGGCCGCCTGGCTCTCGATCCTGGCGGAGCGGCGGAGTCCACCTGGGTCGGACCGCGCGAACGCCGCGTCGGACCGCCCGCAGTCGGAAGAAACGGGACGACAACGACGAGCGCAGAGGACGGGGCATGTGATGCTGAGGACTTGAAGAGGAGCCTGTCCACGGTGTGGAAAACCACGGTGTCTGGGGCATTGAACAGGTGAAAGAAGCCGTCGTGGTCTTTTCGAGCACCTCCCGGAAGCCCAAGGTGAAGGGGACGCCGGGCGAACAATGGCACCGTTGACAGGAGAACACGGGTGCTTTTGCAGGCACACAATGACAATAGACGTTTGGCAGCGCCTAAGTGGTGACTTCTTTGAGAAGGCCCTAAGTTCCGGGGGCATCAGACTTTTGGCAAGTGTTGCTGATTTAAGGCTGGGGAGCCTCCATCCCCCGTCCCTCCGCAAAATTGGGCCAAAGACTTCTCAAGAATCAGAATACTTGCGAAGACCAACAAGACGTCCGGAGTTGTCCGGGGTCTATATCTCTCTGCTCTCCGGGTCCTGTAGACACCCAAAGCGCTCAGCTGCTTTCGCGCGGTGCGCTGCAAGCGCCGCGCCTAAGTAGTGCTCAGCAGACGATGTGGAGGGGGCGTGGACAGTCCGGGCAGTCTATCACTATTTTCAGATGATTTCATATGTATTCTGAACAAAAATCAAGCAGTGATCATTGATCATAGGTATGTTTTTCATTGTTTTTCGCTTCTCTTCAATGACCCATGATTTGAATGGATGTCATATGTCACACTGGAATTGCTTCATATGTGTTCTCACCAAAAACAAAAACAAAAGCTAGCAGTTCCAGTGTAAGGCTCTGGTCGGCCACCGGGAAAATTCTTATTGGTCCTCGTGTTCTGGGCACCGAACTCCTCCAGAACGCACCCTGATCATGGACCTGCTGGAGACTAGTATCACATGTCGACGTGAAATTCACTGCTCTTCACCGTGCTGAATTTCTGGCTGGGCTCCAATGGCTGTGCTCCTATATTCCATCATCTTTGGGCGTCGGGTTGAACCAAAGGATCCCATAACCAACGAGCCAGCTCGCTCTCGGGATATGGCTGACTCTTTCTTTGAACGACCAGTCTGCCGGAACCGGTTGGGCCCGGGAGGATGTTCGACAGTGAGGATCTTCCGATGCCTCGTGTATATCCCATGACCGGAGATGCAGCATGTGCTTCATCAAATTGCTAGTAAAGGTCTTTCTGAGACATGTGACATAGTGATCATCCTTGATCGAGTGTGATGGGTGTACTGGTTTGCTCACCCTAGCGATGCCTCAGAAACGATGTTTGACTGACTGGTCAACGAGCATGTGTGACGGGTGTTGGGGATCCGTCACAGTGCAAGCCGGTGATGCTCTTGCTCGAATTCTTGGGGCTCGGCCTAACCAAGACAAAGAGTACTGTAAGCAAATCCAGACTTCGTGGTGCAAACCCGAGAATAGAATGAAGATGATGGAAGCAACAACGGATTGTCCAAGCCTTGGGACATGTGTCCAAGCCTTTGTGGTGTGATTTGGCAAGGAAATTGGTTGGCAAGGATATTTTAAGAAACTCAGCGTAGTATCTTGCACATTGCATGTCTGTGTGGACATGTGTGGACATGTTGCTTGTGAAGGATAAGTTGTTCCTCCTGAACGCCTGGAGATACGGAGAAGTCTTGTTGTTCGATTTCAAGTGCTGAAGCTCCAACCCACGATCCTCTTTGGCAGAATCAACCGGCAGCAAGTTCAAAAAGCGCTTGAAAACGCGGCTGGAGCGATGACAATCTTGCAGGGATGACCACCTCATCATAGAGTTGTTTCCTGGATCACTGGATCACCAAACCGCTAAGCCTTTCGAGCCATCGGGACCCAACCGCTCGGCTCCCTCGGCTCCCCAAACCTCGCCGACACGTCGAACACGTCGATGTCGGCACGAGCGCAGCGGTTCTTCCCCCCCGCCTGGCTGCTCGTCTGCCGGCTCAGCAGCTGCTCCTTGCTGGCACCCCGCCGGCCAGCACGCTGCAGCGTCTGTTGGAGGGAATCTAAGCGTCCCAAGAAGGCTGCTGCTGTCGAGGCATTCGCCTGTAGGCAGAGAAGGTGCCTTTCAAGGCGGCACCAGCTTCTAAGCAGGAAGAAGGACCTGACTCAGAAGGAAGACTATATAAAACCCAGCTGCAAAACCCAACGATTTCGCTTGGGTCTGCCTTCGAAAGACCGATCCACTTGCACGGAGATGGAGTCAGCTCTGGGATCGGAGTAGTCTCCACAGTGATCCAGAAATGAGTCTTTGACCGTCAACCAGCTGGAGCAATGTCTCCATCCATTCTCCTTACAAATTCAGAAATTGGTGTCTTGGCCAAAAGAAATGAAAGGGGCATCGGTCTTTGGCTTCTGAAGCCATGTTGTGCGAGGCACCAGTTGGACCGGCGTCAAGAGAAATCTGCGCGTTCCAAAACACACCCCAAAAGACAAGCCCTAAGACCAAGAAATGACCGAGATGACCAGCCTCCCACTCCACCCCACTCCCGTTCCGCCTCAGGCGCGTCCAGGAACCGCTGCAGCGCCTCCTGCGCCGTGGCCCGCTGCAGCGCGTCGCCCGCCGCGGCGCCTTCGCCCAGGCGCCGCAGCTCGGCGGCGAAGGCGCCGAGCTCAGCCGCGCTGAGGGCGCCGCGCTGGGCGAGGCCGTCGTCCGGCCGCAGGAGGTCGTAGATGTGCGCCTGGGGGTTTAGGCTGTTCCGAGGTTTGGGGCGAGGTGGTCCACCCCGTGGATTTGGGTGGTTTTGGGGGTTTTCCAATTCGGCACCAGGTGGCCAAATAGGCTGAGCTGATGGTGTGCATGTAGTCGAGCTTCTCCTCAGCTGCCAGTTGGACTTGACTGGAGAAATCGTGCGGAAGGGCAGGAGCGGACGAATCCGGTTCACTGAAACTAGTCCGAACTAAGTCTTCATTATCTCAGAGACACAAACCTCTTTTCAGATGTGATGTTGAGATCCTGGCACCCTGTCTCCCTGTTCGCCCTGTTCACTCGTCCTCTGCCCCTTCGTCCTCTGCCCCCCGCACCGTCTGGAACTCCAAGAGGCGCCCAGCCAGCCGGTCTCCGTGCGCGCGGCATCGACGGACCACTGGACCAACTTCTGGAGATTGTTGTTGGTCTTCTTGGTGGCCAATTCCAAGTTCCTGTGGGTCACCCAAAATGATTTAACTCACAAACGGCTGTTTAACTATGGTTTAACTATGAGTTTAAGTTTCAACCCAAAATGGTTTAACTATGTTTAACTCACAAACGGCTGTCGAAGAAATGTCGAAGATATTGAGCATACCACAGTCAGCTTGATGCGTCCTTGTTCCCTTTGGTCCCTCCAACACCTCGCCAAAACAATGACATTCACCACCCAATGCTCCCACCATGGGAGGAACCATGAGCTTAATCTAGGATCAAACAGGAAGACGTCAAACTCGACCATCTGGCGGACCAGGACGTGTCTTTTTTTCGACCATCTGGACCACCTCTACCATCCCATGAAGCCCCCGGAACCACCGAGACGCCGGATGATGGATCGATCGCCCCGGATCACGGCGTCGCGCACGCAGTGGATATCGCAGAAGGCCCGGGCGAAGCCCACCTGCGGATGGCCGGGCACGGCGGAGTGAGGTGCGGCCAGATCTCAAAGCCGTTGGTCACATGCGTAAGGGTGGCCCCATGTGACCAATTGGGGTTTTCTCCTGGCGACCCAAAACGATGACCCCATCACTTCCACTGTCGCCGAGAAAACCCCAAGAATCGCCTGCAGTGGGTTGCAAGCCGCATAGCCTTCCTGGACTCGGTGCAGGGGACAGATGAATCATGATGAAGTAATTCACGTAACTCTGGGACGGATGTGCAGCAGCTGCTGCCCCGAAGAAGAAGAAGGAGGAGGACGACGACGACAACGACGAACACTACAACACAACAACAAGCGTGAAGAGGTCGCTTGCTTTCCAGATCTCCCAACATCTTCGTACGGTCCTGGAGATGTACCCCCAGGCTTCGTACGGTCCTCAAAGCCCTACCTTCACCACCCACACACAGAGCAGTGTGTTTCTTCTGCTCGTTTTTTCATTGTTCCACCTGAGGAGTCTCCCTAGACATCAATAGACCCTCAGACCCGGTCACACTCCGGCGTATACTGCAAGCGTTAAGGCACCTTGGATGATCTAAAAAGTGATCGAACAGTCCAGACAGCGAGTGGTTTGGGAACTCCGCAAGCTCCCAGACATACTCTCCCTGGAATCATCATGAAAGTGGATGGCATGGCCCCTTCAATGACCATTTTCCGAATACCAAACAGGTGGTTGTTCACTCCCTGGTATTTGAGTAGATGGCATGATCCCGAAGAAACGGTCTGACCATGAAATCCGAAGATGCTGGAGAACCTCCACGCGCGCAACCAAGATAATTCCAGGGATGTGTAACAAAACAAAACCAGGCTCCCCAAGCATGTATCCTAGGCTCCCCATCTCGTTTGGTGCAGGAGTTCTTACATCAAGAGCTGTCAGTAGTACTGGTCAACAATATCTTGATCTACTCTCTAATGGTCATGGGCACCGCCAAAGAGGACACACATGAATATATATAAAAGCATCATCAGACTCACCGACAGGAGGGAAACGAACACCCGAACAAACCAAAGAAAAACAGGCTTGCTCGTACTCGACCTGAAAAAGGCACCAGATAAATCAATACCATCCACCGAAACATGAAAACGAAGACACCGAGACAGCAAGATAAGACACGCAGTTCATGACAGGGGGGTCCTCCTGGATCTCCATCTCCTTCTTCGCGAAGGCGAATTCGCTGGTCGGCCCCGAGAACTTCTTGATGGCACCCACCAGCTCGGCGGCGCCGTCGCAGATCCTGAACTCAACGAGCACGAGCCGAACGGCAGCGAACGCGTTCGCGAACGGTGCGAACGCGGGCGAACGAGCTCAACGGTGCAGCGCGCTCGCACTCTCGCACTTGCACGAGCTCAACCAAGGGGTCGGCCGGATGCGGAGGTGGAGAACCTGTGGCCACGTGTCCTGCAATGGCTCAAGAAGAATCCCAAAGATGCTGTTTGGAGCTCCACACATTGTGTGAAGATTCTCGGTCACCATCGCCAATTAAGTAAATAATACTATATATATATTATATATTATATATATTTTATTATATATACCCTAGAAGTCCAAAGACTATATTTTGACCGGCTGGAGTAAAGGAAGCTTCCTTTCAGTTCCCTTAAAGACCATTCTTTTTATAGTCTTTGAGTCCCAGGGTATATATATTATATAATATAATATATATAACTTAACTATATATAGATGTGGTGTGGAACCCCCCTATGTAGTAACTCACAGATGGGTGCTTGGCTTTCTTTCAGCAAATCCCTTTCCCTTCCCTTCGCTACCAAAGGAGATCGCCAAAAACCACGTGCAACCCGTACATGAATATCTGCCAAAAGATGTCTGGGTCCTCACTTCCTCCGCACGCGGCCCCATCCGTCCACAAAGACCCACCAGTCGTTTGAAACGAAGCCCCGAAAAATGAGCTGAAGAGGCAGAAGACCCAACAAGCGTTTTTATCTGAACGACGAACTGTGTGCTGGAGTCTATTCCGTTCCACAAAAGACATATAGAATCTTGCGTCCATAAAAACCACCAAGGGGTCATAGCAAGAACCAAAACCTAACTGTTCAAGAAGCAACTTGACTTGTGCTGTTCCTTCTTGGGGTGGGCGTGCATGTCAACATGATTTGATCATTGACCTAGAAAGCAGATTCTGCCTTGTTGCGGCTCGTTTTTGCAGGTCCATTCACCCTCTCAAACCTGGTCAAACCACTACACTCTGACCAAGAGCTTCAACATCCAGAAACACCCCCAAGTCTCTTGTAGAGAAGAGGCTTCCGCCTTCGCTTCCCCATCTGCAGCTTAGACTCTTGCTGGGATTCATCTCCTGGCGGAGAAGCACCGTAAATGGATGGTGCCAGGTGCTAAAGAAGTGGTTTGAAGGTGGGGGGGAAAGAAATAAAACATCAACGCCAATCACATGGAGGTGGTTTCACACAACTGAAAAATGGATGGTGCCATATGCCACTGCAGAGGCCCCCGAGGCCCGTTCGCCCAACAGAAGATCTTGAGCCTCTGATCGCGTGTTAAACGTCAAAACAAAGTGACCCCCGATGCTCCGTTCTTCAGGTTGTCATGTGGCCCGTTTCCCCGAAAGCCCGGACCCACACACAACTCTTAGACCCACCAGGGAGGGAGAAAACCCTACGATGCTATGAATCTACGAAAACTGCGATAAAGCCTAAAGAAGGACTTTAAAAGACATCTAAAGACTAAAATCTAAAAGAAAACTTCCGTACCACTATATATAGATCCCTCCACCACCGGGCTCGGTCAAAAACCGCATCCAGGTCGCGGTGCCCACGCCCAGAGGTGCCTCGGAGGGGTAGCGAACGACGAGCTTCCAAGCTGAACGGCTGAGATTCGAGCGGTTCAGTGACCTGACAAAGTGACCACAATTTGGGGTACCTATGGACCTATGGGATAGTCCAAAGTGTTCTTCAACCTCCGTTGGAATGCACCTGTTCTGTTTTCTTTATTTGGGGGGGGGGGCAGCACTTTCTAAGCCATTGCTCGAGCCAGTAGTAGCCAGCATTCTCACCCGTGAAAAGGATTCTCAACGACAGTTCCAACAAGTATGGAAGACCCTATGGAAAATGGTTTGGGCAAGGGGGTCCAGCTTCAAATCGATCAAGTGAACCTGATCCCCTCCCCACATGTCTCTACCTGATATGGGACAAAATCCCAGAAAAACATGTTAAAAGAAAAGACGGCTCCCAAAGAAGCGGCTGAGAAGAGGTGAAGAGAAGCGGCTTCGATCCATCAGCCCAATTCTCCGCCCATCCGCTCGCCCAGGGTGCAATTGTGACATCCGGAATGGCTTTGCAAATGAGGCCAATGCCCTCTTCGACCATGTCTTGAATGAACCTCAGCCGCGAACGGCATGGGCATGTGCATGTGGGCATGTGTCCTTGTTCTCGTGCAAAACGGACAGGTGAGCCTCACCGCGATTCTTCCAGCCCATGTGCTTCTTATCGGCCTCCTTCCACATCAGGATGTGTCAGACGTGGAGACGTCATCAGTTCAGCTTCATAACATCTACAGCTTCAATGCATTCAAGAAATTAAAATGTAGTTTTCCTCTTTTATAGGGATGCTAGGACCAGTCCAGCGTCCACTTGTGACCTCACGAGCCCCAAACCGAGCATAGCCCACAGCTCCGTTTTAAGACCACCCGGCCACCCAGCTGGGGCAACGCGGTTTCTGCGTGATAGAGTTGCTTCGGACCACCGGGCAGCCAGGTCTGACAAACGCCGATCCGCGAGAATGTCCGTCGCCAAGACACCCCGACATCGCGCTATGATAGCCACCTGTCGAAGGGAGCGCATCAAAACCGATCCAGGCATCACAGGCGAATGGCGATGCCTACGCGCCCAAGTAGAACCGACCGTGGGCGGGTTCTTTGGTGAAAGTATCCAGTGTTGGTTTTGTATTGCAGTTATATAAGTAATTATATATATATAGATATGGTATTTGTTTGTTGCATGATGCGGTTTTCTGTGTCTCAAATATTGAAAGGAACCTCAAGTTCCTGTTGGACTGAGTGATTGGTTGGGAGCTTTGTTGGTATTGGTTGAGGCTGGGGCGGGGGAAGGTTCGTCAGTCCAACATCTGACACACCGCATGAAGACCTGTTCTTGATCATGTGATTTTGTATGGACTCGCGGCCTTGTTGTATGAAACTAAAACCCCTGTATCAGCTCAAACAGCCAGAAGCTCATGAGCCCCCTGTACCCTGGCGTCAAAGTCTGCTGATGACTGCCAGCTTGTAAACTCAGCCCATGTATGTTTGTAGTCCTTTAGATCTTTTAGGACATAATAGCGATGGCCTCCTGATGAAAAGAACGAAGGCCTCTCATCCACAGAAGAGGATTCCAAAACTATTGCTTGTTGTATTACCCTAGTGTAGACTCTTGATTGCTAAAACCCTCTGATTTGGGGAGATAGATTCTAGATGACTCGAACGGCCACCTCTAACTGACCCAGTGACTTAAACAACAACTTGTTCGATGCCAAAAGCATCACGGTCGCCGAATTGAACCGCTACCGTCCGTCCGTCGCCGCCAAATCGAGCGTCGCCTTCAGCGGAGATCAAATCACGCTCGATGTCGCCCTGCATGCAATCGTTCCAATCGCCTCACCGTGAGTCCAAGTACCGAGCGGGAATGAGATGTCTCCTGCGTCATTCCCCACATCTCCCGAAATGAGTTTTGGCTTCTTCCACCGCCCTCCACCATCGGATCCTCCTCGTTCGGAATCGACCGTCGGACCGGGTTGAAACCACGGAAGGGAAAAACCACGGGCGGAACGCGGAACGAGCGCCGAGGCGCTGTACATCATGTTCTCAGGTGCCGTGGACCCATCGCCTGTCTCCGACGCTTGGCTTCGTGACGGGAGGTACTGGGGGGAAGTGAGGTGCTGGGGGGAGTGAGATGTCAGCAAAACAACAGCAAAACACCCACCGCTTTGGTTCAAAGCAATATCGGATGAACCCGAGGCGGGAGTCCGGAATCGCACCACAGAGGGACTGGTCCAGCATGTTTCATCTTGGGGAAGAAACATGGAGGCTATAAACATCGTCATGCAGTGGCGGTGGATTCACAAGAAGCCGATTAACCCCCCAAAACCGGTCTTTCGGATTCAAATCCAATCAACCGCTGGTTGTCCAAATCCTCCGCAAGCCTTTGACCATCCAAGTGCCAAATTGAGACCCACATACACCCAAATTCTGCAGATCTCGAGCTTGGACCCCAAAGACTTCGCAAAAGTCTAAACTCAGACTCACCAAAGCCCTCCCCCCCCTGAAATGTAGAGGCCTACTTGTACAGGTTCCACTCCAGTGGCCTATCTAGTGTGTCCATGCTTGACTGCCTCAAGGCTCAAGAAGACTAGAGGATAAGACTCTGCGCATAAAAGACACTAGCGGTCTGCACCTCAACCGTGTACGCCCTAGTCACTCTTTCAGTGGTAGCGGAGCAGTGATCCTGGAAGACCCAGGTGAGCTCCTTTCCTAGGCATAGACTTGCTTTTAGGCAACCGGCCATGGATTGGATTGACGACTGGGAAGAGCCTGATGCGGATGTGGCTTATGAGCCAGCAGCCTATGTGAATAGGCATGTGAGAAGAGAACCAGCAGCTATAGCAATGACAACACAGGTCACTACAAAGGTGCCCCCATCTTATGATGGAAAGACTTCATGGTTTTCCTATGAGGATGCCATAGATGATTGGTGCGATATCACCGAGCTGGAAGACGAGAAGAGAGGACCAGCATTGAGAAACCGATTAGAAGGAGAAGCAGCTGTATACAAGCGAGTATTAGACAGAGATGCATTGAAGGCGAATGATCCACCAGGAGCAGGAGTAGAATACTTTAAACGAGTACTACGTCCATATTTTGTGAAAGGATCCACCAATGTATTCCTGTATAGGTTTATGCAATTCGTGCGCTTCAATCGCGGATCAGCCGACATGATGAAGTGGATGACAAGATTTCAGATTTTACTCCAAAGGCTTATGAGCAGTTGGATGGACATGTTGGACCCTGTAACACAAGTACATTCTCAGGTACAAGCACAGATGCAAGCTGATGCAGCGATGACTGGAGTAGCTCCAACAGCAGAGAGAATTCAAGAAATTATGCAGAATGTCAATGGCAATATGAGAATTCTTCATCAGAACGATTTTCCTTTAGGAGAGAATCTCATTGCCTTACTCATGCTGTCACTTGCGGATTTGTCTCAGGACCAGAGGAACACTTTGACCTCTTTGATGACACATCGTGGTAGAGTCCTGCAGCAATACACTACAACAGAGTTGAGGACAGTTTTCATTGAGATGTTCTGCACAACAAAGACGTCAGTAGACAATCCTCTGATGCAGCCAACAGGTGCTGGAGGTAGAAGATCATTTCTCGTACTAGACGAAGGAGAACTCGATGGTACATATGGCTATTGGGCCGAAGATGAAGAAGATGGAACAGAAGGATTCCTTGATGCCCTGGACGATGTCTTTTGGGTATATGATGAAAAGAATTTCTCTTGGTTCCAGAGGAGATTCCAAGGAAGAAGAGCCAGAAAAGGCAAAGGAAAAGGAAGAAGAAAAGGAAAAGGCAAAGGAAGATCAGGCCGCAGATTCTTCAGACCTCGTGGAAAAGGAAAAGGAAAGAGACGAGGTAAAGGCCATTTTGCTGATGAGCAATCGACAACATATCCAGATGAGTATTTTGAAGAGAATCCTTATGAGGACACTTGGGAGTCAAATCAAGTAGCATATGATGTTATTCTTGCCGAAGATATGAATGACTATCTTCAAGGAGAATATGAAGATGCCAATGACTTTTGGCAACAGCTTGAAGAAGCATGGTTTTCCCACAAGGGAAAAGGAAAAGGCAAGAGAAAAGGCAAGAAAGGAAAAGGAAAAGATAAAGGAGATGGCAAACAAGATGCAAACTATGCAAATCAACAACAGCCACGTTCTTTACCTGCACCTTCAAGAACTTCACAAGCATCAGGAAGCAACCAAGGTTTCTTTGCACATTGTGTGACAACAGCAGCTGAAGTCCATGACAGTGAGGTGGACTTGCTGTCAGGCATGATGACTTCATGTCAAGATGAAGCTGACTGTAATGTCAACAATGGTGAGACGATCTTCGATGACATGAGTGCCCTTGTGAGGTACTCTTTGTCAAAGGAGATGCTCACAGATGCTTCTGATGGCTTTGCGCTTATGAGCGCTGAGGAAGAAGTGAAAGAGATGCAGGCTATTTCATTTTTGACTGAGAATCGCTTCCCGCCAACTATTGCAATCCTGGACATTGGATGCACTAGAGCTATGGGATCAAGGCGTGCAGTCGATTATTTTTGTAACTATGTCGACAATCATCCAGACTGTGGACTATGGTACTCTTTTGAGTCTACCAAGAGCAAGTTTTACTTTGCCAATTCTCAGAAGGCTTCTTGCTCTCAGAAACTGGTGATTTACATGTATGATCGTGCATGGACGATCCACCATACAGAGTTCGACATAGTTGAAGAAGGAGAAGTCCCTTTGCTTATGAGCTTGCCACAGATGAGGAACTTAGGCTTTGAACTCAGGCTGACACCTCAACATGCTTATCTGACATCGGTGCCTCTTGGTATCAAGTTTTTGGAGTTGAAGGTTGCAGCCAGTACTCATCTTGTTTTGGACTTCCAAGATATTGCATGGTATTTGTCTGACGTGCGTTTGCAGGCTCGGTGCAAGAAGAGCTTTTACTCTCACTTCACTCACTATGAATATATGGCCATATTTCGGTTGATCACAATAGTGATGAAGATGAAGCTGAGCATGCATATCCTGTGGTTGACTACTGGGAAGTAGATCTTCACAAGAGAGAACTGACACGTCACCACAAGGATTACAGGAAGATTCTTTTCCCAGCAACTAAGTCCTGTCCTGTAGACACTGACTTGCTGGAAGACTTGCGACTGACAATCATCAAGAAGAAAGAAGGAGGAGAAGAGATCAAGAAGATAGATGATTGGCGCAAGGCAAAATGGAAGGACCTACAAATTGGCTATGAATGGCGTGGTAGAACAATTTTTAAGTTCAAGCCAGATGCCAAAATTCCAGATCTAAAGATCAGGAAGGCTGGCATTGAGCACCGTGGCATTGGTGATCCCGATGCAGTGGTGCGCTCCTCCTCAGAGAAGGTTCCCATTGCAAGGGACAGGGAACCAGGCTTCTCTTCAGAGAAGGAAGGTGCACCATCCAGTGCCGCGGAAAAGCCCGTGCCGCCGAAGTTTCGGTATACTTCAAAGGGTTTTGATCCATTTTGGAAAGGACACAAGTCGAAACCATCTGAGCCTCCACTGGATTTAAAAGGTGATGATCCTGAGGGTTATACTCCTTCAGAACCACCTGAGAGGCCAGAAGGTGAACTTGTAGAAATTCCTAAAGCATCAAAAGGACCATCAAGTGATAAACATGAACCACTTGAACCAGGTGATGGCGCTCTTGAGCCTAGGCGGATTTCAATCCCATTACCTGGTAGTGAAGTTGTTGCAATGACACCGGCATATAGGAAGATGTTACAGAGACTGGAGGACAAGGTAGAGCTTTATAAGCTTCATGTGAAGCACTACCATATGAGTCCTACTCAGTTTCGTAGACGTGTTTCTATGTTGAAGCTTCCTGACTCTGTTTTAGATAAGTATGAATCAGTTGTCAGGAACTGCCGTGTTTGTAACACTTCAGTGGCACCTCCGCCACGAGCCAGAGTCTCCGGTATTAGAGCTTCATGTTTTGGTGATGTTGTTTTTGCTGATCATTGTGAGGTTGAACTTCACAAGAACAAGTATATCATTCTACTTGTTCTTGATGGTGCCACAAATCTTCTCTGGGCTACGGCACAGAAAGACCTCATAGATCAAACAACCATCCAAGCATTGAGACAATGGTCTGATGAGAACAACTGTGTTCCGAAGGCCATCGTAGGAGACGAAGCCTTTTTCACAGATGCTTTTGTTGAATACTACAGGTTCCATGGTATACAACAATGTCCTTGTGGACCAAGAACTCCTTGGCCGAACCGAGCAGAGACAGCTGTACGTTTGTTCAAACGTATGTGGCATGTTATGAAAGTAGATCTGGATGACCCACGCTTTCGTGGTGTTACGGTCAGAGAAGTGGTCAAGAAAGTAGTGTGGGCAAGAAATTGTCAGTTGACTATCAGTGGATATTCACCAATAGAGATAGCAACTGGAAGACGTCCACCAGATCTTTTTGACCTTGAGACCGCAAGTCCTGAGCAATTGTCAGCTGATGCAGCAGCACAAGATCGTACAAATCTGGAACTACAACGTGTAGCTTTGAGAGCTCATCAAGAAGCGCGACAAGCTCAGGACCTTCGAGCAGATCTTGCAAGAAGGACTATGCCAAGCGACGGTCCATATTTTCAACGAGAGAAGGTTTTTGTTTGGACTCAGGATTCATCAAAGTTTGAGGATAAAGGACGTTGGGTTCGTGCCACAGTACTTGGACAAGAAGGAGCTATGGTCCAAGCCAACACTGGTAAGGCAGTGGTACGTGTGAATCAGTCGAAGGTTAGACGTGATCACGATGAGTGGCATGATGTTTCCATACCGGCATTAGACGATGAGAATCCGGAGAACTTACGTGAAGATCACGAACTGTACGTTGATGCCGAATTTGGAGAACAGTCCTTTTTCTTTTGTAATGATGATCATCCTGATGTTGTGGAGTTACTTCATGGAAACAGTGGATTATCTTGGTTCCTTTCAAAGAATGGTGTTAGAGTTGCATCTCCTATGGACTTCAAGGCAGGATACAACTTTTCCACTCTGAAGGGTCAAGATGGTATTTG